TTATTTTATTTTATTTTATTTTATTTTATTTTATTTTATTTTATTTTATTTTTTGAGACAGAGTCTCGTTCTGTCGCCCAGGCTGGAGTGCAGTGGCGCAATCTTGGCTCACTGCAAGCTCCGCCTCCCGGGTTTACGCCATTCTCCTGCCTCAGCCTCCCGAGTAGCTGGGACTACAGGCTCCTGGCACCACGCCCGGCTAATTTTTTGTATTTTTTTTCAGTAGAGACGAGGTTTCACAGTGTTAGCCAGGATGGTCTCGATCTCCTGACCTCGTGATCCGCCCTCCTCGGCCTCCCAAAGTGCTGGGATTACAGGCGTGAGCCACCGCGCCTGGCAGATTCAGTTATTATAATGAAAACGTATTCACTGATAAGGAAATGGAATTCAGAGAGTCCTCAAGACACACAGCCAGTTAAGTTGTAGACGCAGGAATCAGACCTAGGTCTTCAGATTCCAGTTCTCTGTACTACAATTCATTTACTGCATTTTCCTTCATCCCATCCCCCTGCTCCCTAAGAAAAGCAGCACTGCAATGAAGAAATATTGCTGTTATTCCTTTTTATAGATAAAGTCACAAAGATAGTAAATGATAGAAGTAGGAATTAAATCTGGGCATACTGCCTAAAATTCTTGTGTTCTTATATCTAAAATGTATATTCTACAGTGTGTGGTTTTATTACTGTTTGTCATATAAGAAAGATCTAAAAATGTAAAGGCAGCCGTTGAGGACAGTGGATCATGAGGAGAGGGAAGGAAATCTAGGAGAGCATGCAGTCCAGGTTCTCTTCTGCATCAACCCACTGACCACTCCACCTCCCAGTCCCAGTTAGTACTGATGGGAATGTTGACAGAGGAAAGTGAATTCAGACCATTAGGGGAATTAACATGGTATGTGGAGAAATTCCTCTTCCTTCTCCTTTGACATTACCTTTCTTCTTTCTCAATTAGTCTGTGACCTCCTCAGGAGCCACAAAACTGCATATTTTGTTTCTGTGTTTCACACACATCATGAAAATCACTAAGAGATGGTGAGATAATTTTAGTCTTTTTACATTTATTGACATATTCTATCTTTGCAACTATTCCATTCAATGGGCATTATTGTCCCCCTTCTCCTTCTCCTTAAAAAAATGAGAAAATGAGACATATAAAGGTTAGGTAAATTACTTTAGGTTATACAGCTAGTGTGACAGAAAAATAATTCAAAGAAGAAAAGAAGAGAGGAAGCAGGAAGAAAAAAAGAAGAAAGTGAGGGAAAGTGGGAGAGGGGAAGAAGGGAAGGAAAACAAATTGAAAGAAGGAAGGAAGGAAGGAAGGAAGGAAGGAAGGAAGGAAGGAAGGAAGGAAGGAAGGAAGGAAGGAAGGAAGGAAGGAAGGAAGGAAGGAGAAAAGGAGAGAGGGAGGCAGGGAGGGAGGCAATTATAGGCTATTGAGTGCTCAGAAGGAAGACCAACAAAGACCAGAGACTTTCTCTCCAGGTCCAGGCAGCTAGCGCTTAACTAACCTCTAGTACAATAGAGGCAGGGGAGGGTCACAGAGACTTCTGGTTTTCTCTTCCTCTTGACCACTTGTAGTGCTTACTTTTAGGGCTTCTTTTAATCACCCATCCATCATGCTCCATAAAGGCATAGTAAAAAGGAATAAAGTGTCTTACTGGAAGACAGGCACAATTCCTATTCATAGCATAGCTTGCTTTATTTGAGAGCCTGACATGATTTTGTGTTAATGCCAGGTCTGTGTATATGTTAACTAGGAACTTTAGATAGTACAACTTATGCTGGAAACCTGTTGATTTTTCTTCAGTTTAACAATTATTAGGCACCCTTTTCCTCCTCTGTAGTTCTTAGAACTCCACTATACTTGCATTCTATTCTGTAGGCATAGTGCCACAGCCAAAGACTGTTGAGTCTGGAAACAGACACTTTTAGACATAATCAGCTTCATCTTCTTACTAGCTGTGTGATTGCTGGGGAGGTCTCAACTTCACTGAGGTCTCAATTTTCTACCTTACATTACCCATATGATAGAGTTGTTATAAGGATGAACTGAAAGGCAAACAAAAGCATTTTGTCCATGGAAAAACACTTTATACATCTAAGCTATTATCTCCTACCTCATACAAGTATCTACCTTGTTTCTGAAGAGTGAAGAGCTTACTTTTTCGGGTTTTTTTTTTTGTTGTTGTTGTTGTTTGTTTGTTTTGTTTTCATTTTATTTTGTTGACTCTTTCTGCTTTGCTTCCAACCATTTCTCAAAAACCATACATGCATGTGAGTGTTAACAGTATTTGAAAGCAGGCAGTTTCCTTTCTGGTTATTTTCAATACATATTTCTGATAAACACTTCTTTTTTTTTTATTTATAGAAACATTCAAGAATGAAAAACGTCAAAAATAACAATATGTGACAGAAGCCACTTAGGAAACAAACATAAATGTTGGAGGGAAAAAAGAAGCTAGCCTTCTAGCTGAAAAACAAATATTCCCCAATGGACTCCAGAAGAAACTTGACTTATCGCTGCAAAGGAGAGAACAACCTTAAAACTTTTAACAGATAAAACTTAGAGAAACCTAAGATATAAAATTCATATAGTCTATTCTGTTGTGTCTAAATCTGTATGTATTGTTTTGTTGTTTTTTAGGACATATTTATTTAACGTGCACATTTTTTTCAGGTTCTTATTTCTACTACCAACAACTAAGTAATTGAGAAATAATTTTGTATTTCAGTTTCTGAGTAAAACCAGTCTGAAATAGGATAAAAGCTCACCAAATATTTTCTTTTTTTCCCAGAATTTGTTTTGCCATTTTTTTTAGTGCTATCATCATTCCTAACAAGACTAACTTACAGAAAAATAATTATATCTGAGTGATTTAAAATGTCCAGGTTTCTTATCCAAATCCCTTGGAACTGGGATCCCTACCTATCAAGGGTGGAAGGGAGTTTGACTTCACATTCACAGTGTATTTACAAAATACACTTTGTAATAAATATGTTTGAATTCCAACAGCCAAAGCCATTGAGAGTCATAGGAGTTTTCCATAACCTCTTCTACGACCCAACAAGAAGTTCATGACTGAAATTTCACCGGATTTCTGAGAAGATGCCTTAGTATTTTATGTACTGTATACCACACAATTCTTTAGATGAATGTTTCTTAGGACTGTAGGAAAATTATCTAGTTAATCATAATATTTAATGTAAAGAAAAAGGCAATAAAATTGTAATGAGATATAATAAATTTGGCTGACAATAAACCAAAGTGATTCTTAATTAGTGTACATTAGAATGATGCTCTTATAGTTGCATCACCTATAAAAATTACTTTAAGAGCTCTCACATTTTGATAATTTATCTTATTATGTATTAAGTATACAGGAACAATATTATTTTTCCTCTAACAAAATGAAGAGACAGGCTATCTGGTTAATGTTACACAGGAATTTAATAGTAACACTTAAACTTCATCCATAGATCATACTCTGTACAAAATCTGTTAGCTAACATCCTATCTCATAATTATTTTATGTTACTTGGAGAAATTTGTTGATTTTGTACCAAAGTGTTTCTGAAGACAATAAATTGTGAGTCAGTTTTTGAACAAAAAAAATTACAGTTAGAGTTTTTTCAATGTTTATATTCTGATTAAGCTCACATTACCTTACTTTTTTCTAAGTGACAATTAATCCTGATTTATAATGTCCTAAATATTGCTTAGTGATTTGATTGTGGTAATATAATTTCTTATCTACAATGTTTAAACTTTTATGGGATAGTTTTACTTTTATTTATTTTGCCTGTTTGTGCAGATTAGAGCAGAAACTTTTCTAAGCCCCACATTTGGTTATTGAAGGCCACAGCGAATCTTAACCTGACAACCTTGGCAAACTGCACCATAGGTAATTTTAGACTCATATAATTTGTTATTTTTCAAGTAATAGTGAACAATTAATATTTCCATTTGGAATATGAGAATGATTAAATTTCTACTTTTGATAAGTACCATTCTTTGATTAGAAAATTAAGAGAATGCATATCTTCCTTTGGCCGTAAATTATCAAGGGCTTTCTAATGGAAATCATATATAACATTTCTAAATATAAGTCCTTTCATATACTGCATTTCCAGTTGTCTTGATATTGAAAAGTGTAATAAACTTCATGCTCACTTATTGGAGATTTGGGAAGGTTGAAAATAAATTTCCTAATTTTTATTTGTATGTGTTCTCTTCTATGTTTAACTCTAGGATAACTATCTTCCTGTAACGATTAGGTTAAAATAGTCTTTAACTAGAATTGAAATAAATTGTTCACTAAGGAAGGGATTGCTTGTGCTAAAAAAAAAAAAAAAAAAGGCCAGGAGGAGAGAGATTTCCTTCCTGCCCTATGGACTTACAGTGCTGAGCTCAATCATAATGACCAAATTTCACAGCATGGTCAAGTTGCATAGACAGGGGCCAAGACTACGAATTGTTAATACTGGCTTCTTCCTAATTGAATCAGCCAAGCAATTTTGGAAAAGGCTGTCAGAAAGGAGTGAGAAATGGAAAGAGGAAAATGTGATTGTTGAGATAGGCTAGTTCAACTCTTGCGTCCGGGATTTTAATATAAAAACTGTTTGTTTTAAGATCAGAGTCAACATGTAATGAGACTTTTAGGTGTTTATCCAATGGTTCTTGGTTCAAGTTGCCTCTAAAAGGAAAAAAAATGTGTAAAACGCTGGGGGAAGTCAGAATTAGGATCTAATTATAACCCCGGTAGGCTGGAATACTAAAAATGAAATCCAATAGAATAAAACTATTATTTTGATCTTACCATGAAAATATTTCCACAATTGTAAAACTTCTGACTGCTTCTACTTCTATTGCTGTGGTCCAAATTCAGTCATCTCTGTTGGATTATTGCAAAAATCCTGTAACAATTCTTCCTGTTCCTGCCCTTCCTACCTATCAATCTATTCTGATTGTGAGAACCAGAATGATCTTATTAAAATATATGCTATTATTACACACCACAGTCATGTCCTACCTCATTCAGACTAAAAACCAAAATTCCTAAAACGATCCACAAAGGTGTACCCAATCTATTCCCATTCTCTCTCTGGACTCTTCCTATTCATTTTGCTCAAGTCATACTGATCTTCCCATTTGATGTGGTTTGGCTGTGTCCCCATCTAAATCTCGTCTTGAATTGTAGTTCTCATAATCCCCACATGTCATGGGAGGGACCCGGTGGAAGGTAATTGAGTCATGGGGGCAGTTTCCCCCATGCTGTTCTCCTGATAGTGAGTGAGTTCTCATGAGATCTGCTGGCTTTTATAGAGGCTTTTTCCACTTTTGCTTGGCACTTCTTGCTGCCACCATGTGAAGAAGGATGTGTTTGCTTCCCCTTCTGCCATGATTATAAATTTTCTGAGGCCTCCCCAGCCATGCTGAACTGTGAGTCAATTAAACCTATTTCCTTTATAAATAACCCAGTCTTGGGTATGTCTTTATTAGCCATGTGAGAATGGACTAATACACCATTATTTATCAACTGTGCCAGGACTAGTCCTACCCTGAGGCCTTTGCATTTGCTGTTCTCCCTGCCTGGAACACAGTTTGCTCTCCTCTCCACAGAGGTCACTCCCTTACTTGCTTCAGGCTTTATCCACATATTATCTTCTCAGTGTGGCCTTCTCTGGCCACCCTATCTCAAACTGCAGCCTCAACTCTTATTAGTCTTTCTATCTCCTTTCCTGCCTTAATTTTCTCCATAATAGTTTATTCTGTCTAACAAGTTATGTCTTTTACATATCTTGTTTCTTTTCTGTCTCCTTTGCACTAGACTGTAAACCCCTTGAAGGCAAGATTTCTTATTGGTTTCTGCTCTACACCCAGGCACTTAGAATAGTATCTGGCATATATCTGGCACTCAGTATATGTTTGCTGAATGAACTGACTAAAGTTAGGAATGTGAGAACTCAGACCAGACTGCCCAGGTCTGAATACTGATTCCCTGTTTACTGGGATGCCTTGGGTAGGTGTGTGAACCTCCTTCTGCCTCAAATTCCTACATATATATAAAATAGGACTAAAATAGAATCTACATTGTAGAGTTGTTGTGATACTTTGATGAATGAATATATGTAAAGTGCTTAGAGCTTTGTCTGTCAAAAAGCAAGTCCTCAATACATTTATCTGTTACTATTTTATTTTTATATATATATATATATATGTTCTAAATTATATATAAAATGTTAGATCAAGGATTTTTAGTTTTGGAGTTTTGCATCTTTTCCTCTTTGAGTTTTCTTTCTTTCCCACTTCCACTCTTATGTGCCATGACAAATACTCATCTAGTCCTTATTATCTTAGCTCAGGTTCCCTAGAAGCACAGGTTAAGGGGGAAGATACTCATTCAGTGGTTTATTGGAGTGTTTTTAGGATAAATCTGTATGGAAGTGGAAGAAGCAGAACCAGGACAGCAGAATGATCCAGATAAATATACGGTTTCATAAGAACTCCAACCTAATCTTTCCAGCCTGATCCTAAGGGTACCCCAGAGCATGGATTATACTACTGTGCTGATCCCTCAGCTGAACCTTCAAAAATTTGTTCCAAATCCACGAGGCCAGCAGGTTTCAAATTCTGTACCATACGACAGGACAAATGAGTCCCATAGGTATATCCCACTGTTGCATCTCCCTTGTGACAAATTGAGTCACTTGATCTGAGATGATATTACACGGTATCATGTTGGGAGAACAGAAATCCTGTGACCCCTCTGTGGCAGTGCTGGCTGAGGCACTGTGGAAAGGAAAAGTAAACTGATACCTGGAGTATGTTTCGATTTCAGTTATGAGAAAGCATAGATTCTTCTTGGGTGAAAGGGATTCAATGTAATAAAATTCTTACCAACTGACTAGGTTGTCTCTTCAAAGGATGGTAACTTATCAGGGAGAGGGACAAACACCATTGGTCTTTGTGGCAGGCAAGTTGAAACTTCAACAATAACAGTAACTAGGTCAGCCTTTGTGAGAAACAGTTCATGCTATTGGCCCAGGACTTATAGTAATATGTGCCATCACGGTTACTCCGCTCATGAGTCCATTGTGCAAGTACCGGGGTGACTAAGGACAGAGGCTAGTTGATATCTACTGATTGAGTCAACTTATCTAATTGATTTTATAGTACAGATGCTCTCTGTTGAACACTAATTTGCTATACAAAATTTTCACACCTTTTCCCAATTTTCATAGTCATCCTCTTCTTCAGATATTTTTATCCACCATATTCAGCTCTATCTGTATCCAGGTATTGAACTAATCAGCTAAGCCATTTGCTATTAAAGCCACTTCCCAAGGAGTTTATGTTTATCCTGACTGCAGGCCATTTTCTGTTGACACACAACGTGGACAACCAGATGCATGCAACTCTGTCCACTGGGAGGATTTCACTTCACCATTGTCTTTCAGACCCACTCCTATGTAGGGCTCTAGTGCAACAGTAATCCATTTGGGCCTCTGCTAATACACCAAGTTGACGCATCCATGAACGGATCCACTTCATTTTATTAGTTGTTTACAGAGAACCGCACCCTGAGCTCTGGAAGTGTAAGCTGAATAAAAAGTGCAGGTACAACAATGTGGGTGAGTGATTTGAGGGTCTCATCAGTCACTCATTGGCACGTCTCATTTGTATCATCTGGACCTGCTTCACCCCAGTCCTGTATGTGCTGCTTCTGTCTTGCAAAGTGCTGCTGCTGGGTTTACTTAATCTTATGAATTCCTGTGTCTGATAGCAATCAGTCCAAGAGAGCAGTTTCAGTCATATGATTATACAATGTTCTATTGTCATATATCAGTCTCCTACTTGGTAAAGTAGCATGGTGACAGCTGCTTTTCAAATGTTGTATAGGTCTGTGATAAAATGTCATGGCTGTGTTCCAAGGATTGCACAGTAATTCTCCTGTTAGAGCTTGCCAGCGATTTTATACACTATATCTATTAGATACTCATCAGCTATATATCTAGATACCCACAGTACCACAGATCTTTCAAGTAATATGGCAGAGATGCAAGTCTGCTGTAACCACAGACTTGACCTGCTGTATCACCCCTCTTTCCTCTGGACCACATACAAAACTGTCAGTCATTTGCGTCATCTCATACATGATTCAGAGCAGCATACTCAAGTGTGGTATGTACTGCCTATCCAACCCCCAAAGACTTACTAAATACTTTCTTAGTGGAAAGAGGTGTAAAGGACATGCTGTGGTCTAAATGTTGGTGTCTTCCAAAATTCATATGGTGGAAACCAATACCCAGTGTGATAATATTAAAATATGGGCCTTTTAAGAAGTAATTATGTCATGATGGCTCTACTCTCAGGAATGGGATTGGTTCTCTTACGAAAGAAGCTGAAGGGAGTGTCCTTGCTCCCCTCTGCCATGTAAGGATGCAGCAAGAGGTGCCATCTTTGAAACAAAGTAAGCCCTCACCAGACCTCAAATCTTCTGGTACCTTGATCTTAGACTTCTTAGCCTACAGAATGGTGAGCAATAAATTTCTATTCTTTATAAATTACCCAGTCTAAAGTATTTTGTTATAGCAGCCCAGAACAAATAAAGATAGTGCCAGAAACTGTTCTTTGTCTGAGGAGATATCCTAGCTTCCTTAGCTCAAGGGAATCCTAAAATTTTTATCCATATGGCAGCATCTTGAATTTCTGCAAGGTTTAGTTTATTCTGTTGTTAATGGGCCAAGGTGTTACTAAAGAATGGGAGCTAGATACATACCCTTTTAGGTGACTAGCAAGGTACTTAAGCTATGGGACCCTAGTCCCTGTGGCTTATGTTTGCTCATGTGACCCTCATTCAACATACTCTTGTCATTTCTTGAGAACAGTGCAATGGTTGGGCACGTCGGAAGCTGCAGCTTGGTGTCTGAGCCCTCCAGGATTTTCTTGCCCCACATAGTACTTGCTATCTGCTTCATACCCTTTATTAAAGCTAAGTAAACTTAGTGCTTGGTGTACTTATTGTTTCTTGTATCTTTGATTGACAATATGAAATGGTCTTGTTTTTGCAAGAATACAAAATAAAAATAAAATACTAGAAATAATAAATATGGTTTGGCTGTGCCCCTACCCAAATCTCATCTTGAATTCCCATGTGTTTTGTATGTTGAATCATGGGGGCAGGTCTTTCCTGTGCTGTTCTCATGAGAGTAAATAAATCTCACAAGATCCGATGGTTTTAAAAAGTGGAGATTCCCTGCGCAAACTCTCTTCTCTTCTCTGCCACCATGTGACATGTGCCTTTCTCCTTCTGCCATGATTGTGAAGTCTCCCCAGTCACATGGAACTGTAAATC